ACCACCTTTGTTCTTCAACACCGCCTGAAGATTTCTTGTAATTTCTTTAAGTAGTCTTTAGGAGTAGTTCTTCATGGATATTTAAAGCTCTTCTTTGGATGTTTGGCTGTCTTTTGTTCTGTTTACTGTCAAATATGATCCCACACTGCTTCAGTTATGTTTAGGTTTGAACTTTGGGGAGGCCAATCCATGACTGATAGTTAGTACCATTGTGTATATTTCTATCCAGGTATGGTTTTACTGCATTGGTGTATTTATGATCACTGTCATGCTGAAAAATGAACCTGTTGCCAATCAGATACTTTTCAGATAGATGCTTTCCACCATTGGATCAAATGCAGTCTAAACCATGACACAGCTTCTAGTGTGTTTTACAGATGGCTGTAGACACTCACTGTAGTACTTCTCTCCTGACCTTTGTACTTACTAATGCTTATTTTGAACTAAAAATGTCAAATTCGTATTCATCAGTTCATAAAACCTGTTGTCACTGATTTTCAATCCATCTCTTGTGTAATTTGGCATATCTCAGCCTTTTCACCCTGTTTGCTGTCCTTAAGAATGGCTTTGTGGCAGCCAATTAAAGGGCCAGATGCATCTCTCGGGTCTTTATTTGGCCTTTGCTGGATTTTCCCTTGTCTTTTTCTTAAGGACATGACTTTCAGATACTGTTCACCTGGGGGGGTTTCTTGGCCTAACTCTTTTCTTTTATCTTCCACTAGTCTAATTACCTCATATTTTAAGGACACACTGCACACCATGTGGAGATTTAGCAGGTTTTCAGGTGTTAGCTCTTTGGGAATCACAATGTTGGTGTAAAAATATTATTTTATGCCCGTAAAACTGTGCTATCTTTGGCATTTTTCAAAGACTGAAGGGAAGAAATTTAAAGAAATGATTATGAGCTTTGCAACATGCTGCTAGTGACAAAGAACTACAGCATACACTTATTAAGTAAATTCTTTGTTAAGTTATCTGCTATGTACAGACACATCACTGATTCATCCCTCGAGTTAGGTGCCTTTTAAGTGTATTAGCAAATGCGACATTCCTATAAAGGTAAGGACTGGACTGAAAATGAGCAAAATAGCAACAAATGTCC